TATAATTTAACATTATCACATAATTCACAATCATACATAGTAAGTATTAGCGATAATAGAATTTTTTAAGAACGAGACATCATATTATTGTTATAAGTAAACCATTATCTGAATTCAAAGCCAGTAATAAATATTATGCACATTCTGAAAACTTATTTAACCCTGAGTCTTAACATTTATCGATAGTCAGTTCTGTTCTGTTCCTCTATAAACGGAATGCATATTTTGAATATTCTTCAATACGGTTCAATCCGCTTATATGTTTACTGAAAGAGTGCATTTCCTTATTATTTTATGCCACATAGTCCGCCTTGCTTTCCACTGTATGCTGGCTGGCTGACTGACTGACTGTATTACTCGCTCGGACGCCAGGCTACAAGCATTACTTTGTGCAGGCTAGACATCAGGTATAATATGCATGCAACCATTACCCTCTATCTCTTCTCCTGCACTATCTTTCCCTCTCACTCCCTCTCTCTCTATGTAGATCGCTGTCTCTTTCGCGCTGTGAAAAACTGTTAAATGTTTTTAAATGTGAGAAAATAAAAGTGGAAAACTTGCTGCACTGGCTACCAGCCACCAGCTATCAGCTAGTTGGACCCCCTGGCACAATTTGCAGCTGTTTCGTTGCCTTGCTCCATACCCGTCTGTCTCCCTTCCTCACTCTGTCCGTCTATTTCTCTGTTAGTTAGTGTGGATTTTGGGTCTAGTTAAAAGTTTTGCAGAGAAACATGGGAGTGATTAAATACTCGTATATGGACTCCTCGTAATACTCGTGCGAATTGCACGGCCGCAGCTGCAGTTCAATGCCCCCGTCTATAGAGAAGAGCTTCGAGTGATAAACATTGAACATATAGTGATATATCGCAGGTAGGCGAATACAGACATATGTATGTGCAGATGTGGTCCCCGTTGTATAGACTCGAGATTGTATACTCAAACAGAACAGAACGACATATTGGCAATGGGCTTATTGAGACAAAAGCCGTGTAAAATTACAGATTAATTGTTATTATCGTGGCATATGCGAAAATAAAAAATAAAAAACACAAGCAAACAAAAGGCAGAAAGACAGAAAGAGCGAGGGAGAGAGAGAGAGAGAGACAATGAAAAACAATGCGGAAAATTTGCTTAAGCCACAGGCCATTGCATTGCATGGCATTTTCACTTTCCCGCTTTATGGCCAGGCAGGTAGTGACGGCTTTTTATTTCCCACACGCTTTCCTCACTGCAATCTCAACCTTTTTACCCCATGCGCCCCTTCCCCGTTCCCCTTTGAAAGCTGACCATGTGCATTTGTTGATATTCAGCCAAGGCTCATGGTCTTTGTATCATTTGTGGACTTTTGCTGGCAGAGGTTGAGGATTGAACAGAGATGAGAAGAAGAAGCGGTGAGTTGCCAAGTGCATGAGCAAACGCCTCGCTCTATGATACACACATCCGCTCTAGATATTAGCCGAGAATATTATTATTTCAATGTGACCCACTTGTGATGCATTGAATGGAAGAGCCAACCCCACTTCAGATATGGAAGCCCACTCCAACGGCCACTTGTTAGCCGAGAGAGGATGTTTGAGCAAGTGCTCTCAATGGCTGTGCATTAGTTGTAAATCGTATCTCCCGCTCGAGTTAGATTCGACTATACTTCCACGCTAAATGACCCAATTAACTGGAGACTTTCTGATAATGAAAGTGAGCACATAATTTACAACTGTAGGACGCATATCTCGTGCAGGAAATGCATATATAGTTGAAAGAGATTCTTAAAATTCAACTGATCCAGAGAGATAGTAACAATTGAGGCTAGTTGAGCTATTGACAGATCGATACCTTGTAGATCTTAGATCTAAATATGTTACCCTAATTTTAATACTTTAAAAACACATATATAGATTCCTACTGAAATCGACAAAGTTCATTTGGTAAGCTAAAGATCTTATGGTAAAGCTGGACCTATGAGAACAGAAAAGATAAATACATATTTGACTGTTTTGCAACTCTTGTTCCCCTGTAAGCTTATCTAATCTCGATTATGAACATACACATATTATTGCAAATGTGTTTCGATTTAATTTGAAATATTTTTCTCCATCATAAATGCAGCGATTTGTATTGTCTGCGAATGAATGAAAATGGTTTGATTATGCTAATAAATGGCATCGATTAAGACACCTGGCGCGAGCCATGCAGAAACTATAGAAACTGGAGCTGTAAAGTGAAACCTATCTACATCAAATCACTTTAATCGCCCTCTTAATCTACATTTTCTGATGTCGCAGATGAAAACTGCGAACACACGCACACACTGGAGTGATCGATGCTCGACTTTCACTATTGGCCAGACAGAGTCAAGAAGTGGCATTAAGTGGTTCAATGCTAAAAGTTTAAACGTCAATTACAATTAAAATGAACACATGCCACGCCCCCTCCAAAAAATATATGTGTATATGCAGATTGATGCCATTGCCAATGCGAATGGGAATGCAAATTCCTTTTTCCAGTTGTTGAATGAAAAACTCGTTTTCCATGTCAATTTTCATTTCGCTTTTAGCTAGAGCTACCCTCCCCTTGCCCCTTGGCGCCCTCTAAAGAAAAACCCTTCGCCTACCAAATGGTTGCAATTGCAATTCCTATTACTTAGTGGGAGGGATTTTGTCGGAGGGCATGGGCCAGCCAAAGATACATACGAGCGACACAATTCGCTTGCCAAAAAATCAGGACAACAATAACAATGGGACAGGAAGCAAGCAGCAACAGCAGCGGCATGCGGTGGCTCTGGGGGGTTGTTGGCGAGTAAATAAAAAGGCTGAGAGAGCGAGCGAGCGAGGGAGAGAGAGAGAACAACTGAATCCGTACAGCGCCTGCGCCAGTTCCTTCTCTCGGGACTCCTGAGGCGCCGTTGAGAGCCAAGCGCCAAAATGCACTAGCGAAGAGGCATTTCAGCTAAAGGATAGTGAATGTGAAGGCATAGATATGGAAGGGTATTTGGAAAATTCGGGATTTATATAAAATGGGAAAATTATATCCTCTCCCATCCATCTATCCATTTCTTTTATCCCTAAGCTTTAGTTTCATATCGACCTCTGCATCTTCTTATACGTGGATACTAAATACTTTATATCAGTTAATCACTTATCGATGTTCTTGTTACTCTCTTAAGCTATTATCCAATTTAAATTAAAATAAAATAAATATTAAATAATCTTTAGCTAGCAGATTGATTTTTAAAACTAACCACTAACCCACAGAATAAATGATATGTATATTGTCTCAGCCAACTGATCTATATCATATGAATAACAGATAACAATATTATACTCTACTACTGCAACATCTACATCTTCTTTATCTATATGAAAACTCTCTCAAGTATAGGATGATTTGATAAACACGGATAAAGAATATAGCTATCAAAACACATTTAGAGTATTTCGACTTCGACAGCTGAGCTACATTCCGAATCCTTCCATCGTTCTGTTGCATTTTTCTTAGTGCCCGCGCCCTTTGTTGTTGCTAGCTGAATTTTGCCTTTCGCTGATGGCAATGACTCCTCAATGCAGTCAACGGGGTGCCAAGGGGCTAGCCAGGAGCAGAGGGGAAAGCTTTGGCGCCGGCTTGCATTAACTGCACTTGATAAACGCGATTTGTGAGGGGCGCGCGCGTTAATTTGTCTTCAGCTGCTGTTCTGTGATTCGCTTAATTAAAAGCCAAATCCCAATTCACCAAGTGCTGCTGCTGCTGCTGCTGCTGATGCTACAACAGCTGCATCCTCCAGGACCTAGACTCACTCGAGTGGAGCAGAGTGGGCTTAGACTGGCAGAGGCAGGGACGGAGGCGGAGGTGGAGGGGTCGCTTCGTTTGCCGTTAGTCGCGTGCGTTTTTATTGATTTTTCCCGCAATGCGATGAGAAATGGCCTCTTGTTATGTTCCTGCTCGCTGCTGTTGCTGTTGCTGTTGCTGTTGTTGCTAGTAAACTAAAGTGTGTGCATGTTGTGTATTCATAAAGTTCCTGTTCCTGCGACTGCAGTGAGTGAGAGCGAGAGGCAGACGAGACAAAGAGATAGGGAGAGAGAGAGAGAGAGAGCCGGAGAGGGAGAGGGTTAATGGGAAGACCCTCCAAGCTGCCAACTTAGTTAGTTATGTGGGTTAGTCGCAGGCCCTTCAACTGCACCAATTACCCGATGGCAGCCACAGGATTTCGAACTCCATTGTTATGCGCCTTTAAAAGCTGGCATGCCCCCATGCAGCGGCTTAGCACAGCACAAAGGCATAGGTTTTTATGGGCATGTGAAATGAAAGTGAATCGAAAGGGGTTCAGGCAATGGCACGGGCTTAGCCAATGCAAATATTTTACTGAAAGATTACACGAACTTAATGAAAAACTGCGAGACGTGAACAAATTAAAGCCGGCTTTAATAAGCATTTCAGTTGAGTGCATATAATGTCTGATTTATTTGATAAATACGTTTTCATTTAGCAAGTGCTATATCGCGTTTGATCATTTTATTATTTATTTGCACATTTCCTGTTTGGGTTTACTTTAAATATTTAACCTTATAGCTCCTCCAATAATCATTAAATCACTATTAAATCGGTTTAAACAAGCTGTGCCCACACGCTAATCATTAATCAGTCAGTCAGTCAGTCATTCATTCCTTATCATTTACCTTCATATTGAGAAATACATTTTTTTTACAAAAAGCTATTTTTCTTTATCTCTAATATCGTTCTCTTTCTCTCCTTATGTTTACCTCATTCTTTTTTCGTTCGTCTGTTTAGCTCTTCATTAACACAAATTCGAAATGCCGCCGAACGGCACAAATATCACACAGTTCCGTCTTATCAACCTGATTCCCTTCAGATACAACCGGCGCAATTATCAACTCGTATCTATATATTTGTATACTATATTTCGCGCGGTGTTTCCTGCTGTGAATGTAAAAGCTGTTTCGGAAACTGTGGTATAACGGTAACTGTGACGAAGGTCAGTTATAACTCACCTTAGAAATTCATCTGCTCGTTAGCATAAAACTTAATTGAAATGAAATTTATATCAACTTTTTATTCTTGTTTCTCGCTTTTGCGTCTGCTAGCGAGACTTTGTTGTTGTTGTTGTTGTTGTTGCTGCACCAACAGCTGTTTTGTGCCACACACAGATATACAGACTCACACACACGCGCAGAGCGAGAGAGAGATAGAGAGAGAGAGAGAGCGAGAGACAAGCGCGCTACCGAGCACAAAACATAAATAAACAACAAATATAATTTTATTCTATTTTATTTATTTTGTATGTTAAAAAAAACGTCGCGTATTTTCTTACGTATTTTAATATTTTTACCTATTCTTTTTTATAATTTTTCTTTATTTTTTTTAAAAGCTGTTTTTTAATTTTCTTGGCGCATTTTTGCAATCAATTTTTTTTACATATTTATACTGCTGTTGTTGTTGTTGTTGTGCACACGCGAATGGAATTTCGGTATTTTCTGTGTTGAAAGTGCGTTGCGAGTATCTGCGAGATACTTTTCGGCTAGCAGTTGGCTTTAGTTGTTCAGCATGGGAAAACTCAACGCAACTGCCCTGGTGCACTCATAGCATTTGTTAGCATTCGATTCAACAGAAATACACAAAGATTCACAGTCCAAAATACAGACACGCAGCGACAGAACGACGGAGCGTAGCGGCAGCAGCGCCAACCGAATTGTTATCCAACTCGTTGCAGACACGAAAAGCAACTGAATTCACGGCTCACACAACCCAAACTGAGAGCTCGACGGACTCGCAGCGAACTCAAACGTCGCGAGTCGAGAGTCGAGAGTCGCGCCGCCTCGTACTGCGAGTGTCGAGTGCCGAACGTTGGACGTGGAACGCAGGCGCCGCACAGATACTGCGAGAGCAGTACAGTAGTCACATGCTAAATGCGACAGATTGATACTCGAATAGTTTAGTTTAGTAATAATACAAAAATAAAATAATGAAATGTATTTCGGTATTATATGACATACAAATAAGGTAAGGAGTATGTAAGTAGTATACACTTAATGTACAATTTGTCATGTATAAATAAAGCTAGGGATTTGATTGGGTACAAGTCTGTTTAATATGGTCTAGAGTTGAAAAAATAAAACAGAAACCCAGCGTAGATAATTTTAGGTAAACATGTGGAGGCGATGTGTAAAGAGAGTATACATTTGTATGTAGTTTCATTTTTGGATTATCCATTTATCATACATTTTGATTTGCTCAGTAGAAGATCTTAAATCAAAGATGTATATCTTAAAAGGAGTATATGAAACCTTTAGTAATGAGTATGATATAAATTATATATTAAAAAGCATTACTATGGCAATCGAATAATCTTTCCTTAACTTATAACAAAATCAACAAATAACATATAAATATATTATGGTTAAAATACATAGGATACTTGATACTATGCATTTAGCAATTTTAAACACAAAATATTTTATAAATCATAGAAAAAAATTACATTAAATAATTTATACATTGAGCCAAATACTAAAATGTTAAATCGAACTTTGTAAATTTAGTTAAATCTGAATCTACCTCAGCTGTGGTAAATGAATGATTTCACAAATATGAAGCTTGACTGTGCTGCATTTGAGAGAGCGAGAAGGTATGCGTAACACAGGTGGACAGAGAGACACAAGGAGGGAGAGAGGGAGATAGAGAGTGCGAAAAAGAGAGAGGAGGAGTGAGAGAGTGAGAGCTGAAAACAGAGTGAGGATTTCGCTTGGTGGGCTTTGTGCGGTTTGTTTTAATTTTAGTTTCCATGTTTGTTTCAATTTGCATCTGTTTCAGTTTCTGTTTCAGTTTCTATTTCAGTTTCAGTTTTGGACTCCGCGGTTCGGTCTGCGCTTGGGTCTCGGCTTCTGTTTGGCGTCTTTGGCTGTATTGTGTCTGCATTTGGGGCTTAGGCTTAGTTATTTTTAGCGCCACTCGATTTGGTCTTCGGGACGGTGGTGCGGCGTGGTGCGATGCGTGTGGTGGCCGCGTGTCACATGCCGGCGCGCACTGTCCGCATTTCGCTGTTGCCGCTGACGCCAAAGTCGAGCAATGTGACCGCTTCTCTCTCCCTCTCTCTCCTCCCCCTATCTAAGTCTGTCTCTGTCTGAGCAAAGGCTGCTAATTGCAGGTGCCACTCAACAGGGGGGCAGGAGTGTCGCGGTTGCAATTAGTGCAACTAATTAAGAATATAGCCTGCTAAGTGGAGGCAGCCACCGCTTGCACCCACCTATCGATCAATGCAAGACACCTGTGCAAACATCTGTGTGGGTGCATTGCTCTTAGTGTGTGTGTGTCTATGCCTCGCACTGATTGGATATTAATTTATGCATATCGATACGTGAGCTAGTTGCTTGCCAGTAGGTCAGCAGCTAAGACCTTATCAGACCAAAGCCCTATTTGCATGCAGCAGAGAATCTTTGCAGAGAATCTCTGAAATGCATTTCACACAGGTTTTCGCTGAGAGCAGTCTACAATTCAATTAATTTGTTGTCGATAGAGCCCTCTTAATTACAATGCACTTGAACATCAACAACTCGTCAAAGCTAAATCAAAAGACCGGTCAAGGGGCGGCTTAGTTAGAGCGCAAATTTTATTTTCATGGAAAACTTGTCAAGCTTTTTCTTAAATAACATGGACATTATTACGAAGACTAAGTTAATAGATAAAAGTAATTATAAATAATAATGAATGAAATCAGAGTATACAAATTTAAATGAAAATAAAAAAAATCTGCCAAAGTTTTATTTTCAAATACTTCAAAATTAATTAAGTTAGAACTTACATGAAAAGAAAACCGTTAAAGAAAGATTGAATAAATTTATAAATAAATGGAAATATTTAACTAAAATCAACCCATAAATATTTAAAAGTAAAATATATTAAAATTTTAATGCTTATTGAGTTGGAGATTAATATAAATTATAATATAATTTAAATTTTGTACTGCATATGTATATACATATTTCCAGATGTATCACTTCAAAAATAAATACTCTGAAGTATATAGTGAGATGTCAAAAATAAACCAATAAAAATTGGAAATCTTTTCAAAATAATATAATGTTGTAGACATGTCGGTTGCCTTTTGACTTAGTCATGAAAGCGAGCAGTTATTCTATATATAAATTTGTGTACTATAACTATACAGTCTGATAAGAGATAGCTATATCTTGGCTGTTATCTTATGCATTCACTGCTAAGCTCATTTTATAGTCCTGGCAAAGTTCACACTCTCTGAAATCCCCCAGCATTATGGCCATAAAAAACGGCACAAAGCTTGTTTCTCGCTCACTCAGTGGAAATATAGCAGAAGCCAACACACGTGCTTAGTATTTACCGTTATAAATATATGTACATTCATAAGATAATATATAGGTATAAGCTGTCCCTAGGGCAGCGCGCATCATCAAACGCTGAAGCCGAATGAAACTGCGAAAGAGCACGGCGTGACGCACTTGCCAGACGAATTTCTCAATCATAAGGTATTGTCTATATGTTCAGCCAAAAATAAGAGAGAAGAAACAAACGCCGAAGCACGAGTATATAGTATAATATATATGCTAATGCAAATGAGCATGCGACTGCAAATATGCAGCTGATATGATACGGCGTTTGAGTTAATGAGCCGTTGACTGGCTGCGCGGCGGGTTCAATGCCCACAACTGAGTCGAAAATACGCATAGAATAGCGCCGAGCGGTAGGTAGAGCATTCCATAGCCAAACTGTGGCGTGCAGATGCTGTGCACGCTGAGAATGACTGACTGGCGAATTCTCTGGAATCGCCAGCAGAAATGCAGTGCCATGAATAATTGTTGACGTTCTGTTAGGAATAACTTTAATAATGCTAAAGCTAATACTCATTATATTTGAATGCAGATAAAGGCAATCTTTGGAAAAAAGCGATATTTATTGACCTTTCGCATTGAAAGCATTTATAATTTGCAAATGAATATTGAGAAAAATAATTTATTGTTATTTAACGGAATAAAGTTTGTTCTCAAATCCAGTTCATTCAAGAGCTTATGAAAGTACACATAAACCAAAAGTATTTCATATATGTCTATTGCACAATCCACTATTAGAGTAAACCAATATTTAGACAGACTCACGTAGAGTTTAGTCTACCTGAAATATATGTACATATGAAATATTCCATCTGCTCACATAGAGTCAAGTACTATATACCCTCCCTCGGAGATTTACGCACAGGGTGTGCGAAGCGACAGGCTTCCGACGACGACGGCGACAAACAAAGGCGAAAGGCCACGCAACTGGCCATGACTGACACCCTGGCAAGAGGTAGCCAATGATCCTGATGCCCGTGCAGATGATGATGCGGCCAGCAGAGAATCCGACAGACTGACGTCTGGCCGAGCGTCCCTCTGTCTATCGGCTCGTCTGTCGGCACGCCGAAGCGTGGCAGGAGAAATCACATGCAATACAAATTAAGCAAATGTTTGATGAAATTTGACTACTACTGGCCATGGGAGTTGAAGCCGGAGATGGTGGCCTGCACCTGCACCTGCACCTGGGGCAACTGACAACTGGCAACAGGCAACAGGCAGCAGACAACCACAGCAACCAGATAAACTCTTGGCCATACAGATGCAGATATGTTTGCGGCATCTGCAGCGACCAGCATGAATTTTGCTGTCGTTTGGCCAAACCAGATGCAATTGAAGGCCAGATAGAGAGGGGCAGAAAAAGAGGCAGGGAGGGAGCAGGAGCAGAGGGAGGGGGCTATGCAAACAGAAATGCAGTTATGTGCATATCCCATATGAACGGTTGGGCTAGTTGAGCTGCCCTTTTGTTGTTCATTTTTAACGTGTGCAGCAAAGGTCGATAATGCACAGGTCAAATCCGTTTCATCGGCTACCCACACTCATTGGGCTGACACCCTTTCCATAATTTTGGCAATTGAAATGCATGGGCAATACATTGTGAATTATAAATGCACCAACAACGAATCGCTAAAGCCTTTAATTGATGCAATGCAAACGAAAATCTCAAGGTTGAAACTTTAAACATCCTGGTGTTTTATATTTTTATGATATAATTTGAGATCTATCTTACCTTAAA